TGTTTAACTTTCTTCTTCAGTTAGTTTTTAAAAAACATTGAAAGTCTTGATGGTTTCTTTGTTTCAGTAAAAATGAATGTCTGAAGTTTTCTACAAAACTGCTAAAGTCTTGATTTCTGCAACACCAGAATTATTCACTGCAAAAAATCTGGTCTTATAATGTGGTTAGTTATTGTCTAAAATATCTCATTACACTTTCTATAAGTGATGAGTCAAGATAACGAGAGAAAATGAGTATTCGTGATAAGTAAACGTGTCTGTCAATGCAGCAAACTAAATGAGCTTGTTAAGTGTCTTTAAATGAGATGTACTGTTCAAAGAAAATGAAGTTATTTTTCTTGCTGCATTGGTAGATCTTCTAAGCTCTAAGGCCTCATTCTGCTCGAGATATCCCATAATAAGATGTTTACCTGGACTGATCAGGTGAATGTGTAAAGAGATGTTTTTGACTAGAAATCAGAGGAATCCACTTTGTGATATTTGAGTTTTTGCAGTGATTTATTCTGGTGTTGCAGACGTCACAACAACAGATTTGAACTCAGGAGTAGTGAATTTGTTTCTCATGACATGAAACAAAAACATCATAAAAAGTTTTTACTTCAATATGAAGCTGGAACAAACGAGAGAGGAAGTAAAGTTTAATGCTGGGTAGTTAAGATGTTTCTTTCTCCAAATATGGTTTTCAGGGCCCCTCAAAGCAGGCCTCTGGGTTGCAAAGAAGAAGCGGAGAACTCAGAGTTTTACTTGATTCCATTTTGATGAATTCACTTGTTAAATTTGAAGTCTCAAAAGAGGAAAACTTTCAATTTCAGTTATTATAATAACAACATTTCTATTCATGGCTGTGTCTGAAATCACTTTGCAGGGAGCACGCTGTTTTTTTTTGCTGTTGTCCAAATTGTTAGTGAGCATTATTACACTCTATATGGTGCACTTATTGTATCCCACAATGCATTGTGAAAGTATAGTGAACACCTCTTTCATCCAAGTTTCCGAGACTTCCCAAGCACTCTCTGCTGACCCCCAGCGGGTGTGGACCCCCACTTTGAAAAACACTGGCCTAGCAGTTAAGTCCGGCGCCTCATGTTTTTATTATTGTCATTAATTTTATTAATCAAAAATGCATATACAAACAACATGGCACTAACATCTTCCAAAATATATAAAAAGGTGCATGTGCAAATCCAAAACAGTCAGGAAAAAAAGAACAGACCAATACAATACTGCTAATAATAAAATAAGTAATTTAAAGAGTCAGGGCCTTTCTTTAATTTGTTTTCTTCTATAACACTAAAAAGTCCCCTTGCATTTTTCACTTGGCTTTTATGTCAGACAGAAACTCGTTAAAAATACACAGAACTTGGGATCTACCGTCATGTCTATGGATTTGTGTTCATAAAAAGTTGCATGGATTAGAATAATGTTAACCAAAAAATGAAATCATTCTTCTCATTGTTCCCTTAAGAGTACACATGTGAGCAGGCATGTTTATATTTAGTAGTTTTATCAACGTGCTCTGATCGTATGAAATATAAACATAATCATGATGACATCATAACGGCAGATTTGACAAAGTATTCTAATAAGGTATGTGTAGCAAAAGTGTTTGTAACCATAGTAACAGTAGCAGCCGTGTGTTTGTGTGTGTGTGTGTGTGTGTGTGTGTGTGTGTGTGTGTGTCAGCAGCAGCGGTGATGAAGAGCAGGAGTTGGGGGGCTCAGGAGGACATCCATCATCTCCATCAGGCTTAAGTGAGTCTCTCAGGACGGGGGACGCCACCAGACCCGGCGGCCCGCCGCTCTGAGACGGACCAAATAAACACCAGAGCCTTCATCATCATCATCATAGTGATCATGGCACGGTGTTCAATTAAGGTGTTGTAATTAAAATAATAGTACGAGGAAGGTAACTCTGACCTAGCTGTGATTGCTGTTCACATATTCACTTCTTACAATCAGAAGACAAATGACCTGCCGTCACCTTTTGATTCCTCGCTCTGTCAAATAAAACACTGATATCAAACTTTTTTTACAGAATATTTCTCACCTTTAAAGAATTTTTCCACACATGTAACCACTGACTAATGTTGTTAAAGTTCCCAAACACTTTGATACCACATGTTTTTAACGATACTATCTCTGTGATTCCTAAGTTATTGTATTAAAAAGTAACGAAGCTTTAAAAGAAAATACAGCTCTTCAGCCATATTTGTAACCTAAAGAGAGCGAGAGAGCAGTGGTGGTGCGTTCAAAGTCAAAGGTCAGCAGATGCTTTTCTCGACTTTTTGTCATCTCATATAGACTTCAGTTTTAGTTAGAGACGTAGAGTCCAACGGAATAAAGATTAAAATGTTGAGAGGATTTGTCTGAGATCAGGAGTTTGTGTGTTTTCTTGTTTAATGTTTGTACGTGGGTGTGTGTGTGTGGGTGGGGGGGGGTCATGTATCTCTGCCCTCTGCTCTCTTTTCATTTGCAATACATAAACCAAACAGCACCCGGGGAGAGGTCCCACACACACACACACACACACACACACACACACACACACACACACACACACACACACTCATAGAGGTCAATTGTCAAAGGTCATATTGTGTCTGGCGAGGGTTTTTGGCTGTTTGATCTCAAACACACACACGCTCCGCTCATACATTGTGACCTGTTTACAATTCACTTAGCAGACGCTCTTATCCAAAGCGACGTACATCAGAGAGTAAGTACAACACAAGCAAGGATCTAGAAAAAAGGGAACAATGTCACGAAGAGCAAACGATCAGCTTTGAGTCCGATTGGACACACAGGTGCTGACAGGCATTGCACAGAGGCAAAGCACAACATTGACGGCAGTTCTTGAGAGCTCTAATCAGTATAGTAACCATCTTAAAAGTTGCTGTTATCAACAAAACCATCGTCATCACCATCATCATCAATAATATCGAGACCATCATCATTAAGTTAGTAGGTATTCATGAAAGAGCTGGGTCTTTAGCTTTTTCTTAAAGGTGCAGAGGTACTCTGCAGATCGAATGGAGTTTGGAAGTTCATTCCACCACCGGGGGGCAACAGAGGAGAAGACCCTGTTGTGAAGGTTGGATCAGACGCCTTTCATTGGCAGAGCGTAGTGGCCGGGAGGGAGTGTAGACCTGGATGAGAGAGTTAAAGTATTTCTGTATGAAAAAAAAGCAAGACTTGGTCTTTGCCTGAAATCACACTCTATTCAATATATATTGAGAGAGCAATATCATACCTCATACAGTGCACTCATTGTATCCCACAATGCATTGTGGAAAGTAGTGTTCAGCCGATGGTCACTATCCAGGCAATATATACCATCATGCATTGCGGTTCAAAGCTTTTTGCTGAAAGTTTGAATGCCCTCAGACAGATGAGAGGAGAAACCATCATAAACACGAAAAGTTCATAAATAAACAAAGAAGAGTTGTCTAGAGAAAATTATATCGCGATTTGTGTCACAATGTTTTTAGAAGTTGCCACTAGAAATTTTAATTTTTCTGAGAATATTTTCTGAACATTTTAGAATCTTTACCTTAGAAGTTTAAATAAATAAAGTTCATCATAAACACATAAAAGTTCATATTTGGAGGCATTTTGACCAAAATCTTAAAAAGGATTCTCATCATCAGAGTAATGTTTTGTTGTCCTAATGATGATGATTTTAGTGTACAGAAGCAATTCACTACAGTCCACTACAGGGAACTCCCCATGTAAAAAGTAGGGAATGTGTGTTTTATTTCAGTCACAACTTTTTGTTTGCCAAATTAATATCTCAAGAGCTTGAGGAAACGACTGAATTGACTCGTTATCAAGCCAAAACCAATATTGTTATGTCAAGGTGACTAGATCCGGGAGATTTCCCGGGCAGGCTGTTCTGGAAATGAATAAGTATTTTAAGGAGTGCATGTATGGAAAGAGCTGTAGACGATTAACATAAGATGAAGCATGTTACCAGTTGAGAGCCAGGAGAGACCTTATTTGGATGATTCTTGGTGGGAGAATCGTCCACATGGTTGGATCGAAACTGAGAAATGCGATGGGTAAGAAACAGTGAAAACACCTTAAACTAAAGCACTAGCTTAGTTTATCAAGTAGCATATGTAATGTAAAAATCAAGATTCTTATCTTGTGAGATTTTAAATAGATTCATAACTTCCAAAAACTTTTTTTTTTTTTTTTTTTTTTGGGCTAATCAGTAACTCCCTGTTAAGTGCTAAGGCTAGCTCTATAACTCAGTAGAATGCAAAATGAGGCAGCAAGAAATTCAGCCAGTCTGACAGATGACTGAATTAGATCCTGAGTATGTACTAATTCAAAAATAGACTTTGAATCATGAATCCAGAATTGTTTTGTATCGAAAATAGACTCTGAATCAAATTGTGACCCCAAGAATCAAAATTGAATCGTTAAGACACCCAAAGATTCCCAGCCCTACATGTACCATGACAATAACTACAAGTTGTTTTGGTAAAAACAGGTTTTAACAAAAATAATTTCCTGAGAAATTTACCAGTCGACTCCTCAGAGTTTCTAAATAAAACCCAATGCTGAATACAATGCTTTTCAGTGTAGCAACATGTCAATCATATCTAGCCATATAAGTGTACCCCGCTGACCATATTTGGACAAGAGGGTGGAGCTGAAATAGTTACAAGTGCAAATTGGTTAGCAAGTAGCATCCATAATTCAACAATTTACTAAAGAAAATACCATGCTGTGCTGAAGAAGGCTTGAATATAGAGATTGAGACAATAAACTCGTTAGGAAAGCGTTTACAGAGGGAATAAATCACCTGACACGTAGAAAGATTTTATCTTTAAATAACGAAACAGTGGAGTCGCCCACTGCTGGACATGAGAAAGAAATCAGGTGTTTTAAGTGACTTCTTATTTCCAACCGTAAAGAGCTCACATCAGAAGAACATAATCTATCGCTGAAATAAATAAAGGTTGCATGTAACAGATGAAACAAAAAGAGCCGTGCATGATTTCTATCTTTTATTACATTAAACTGTAAAACTGCAAGTGGTCAAAACATGTGAGTAAAATCAAATAATGAGTCAAATATTTCAAACGTTTTCTCAGTACATTAGTCCTCCAGTGCCCACAAAAAACACTACCGGAGGTGAATTTCCTTCATAAGATCAAGAAAACGTCAGTGTGCATCATCGGCAATAATCAATAAAGTGAATCATAAATGAAGAGGCTCTTTGAACAAGATTTTAACTGGATAGAAAACAAAATAATTCAGAAATAAATAATTATTGGTATTGCAAGTATCTAAGTTATGATACAAACCCCTTTTATTAAAAAAAGATGCAAATACAAAACAGCTTCACCTGTCTGTTGCTATGGTTACATTCAGAGACACCTGACTGTTAGCTGCGGCTACATGCTAGCTGCTGGGACTCAGCGGTGGAGCTACTAGCACAAAGTGACAATCTGATGGGCGCCATTGTTGAGTTTAGCTGATAACATTTTTAAATGTTTAGTGTCTTAACTGACGTTTGCTGTTAGTTACAGGTGTGTCATACCTCATACCTCTTATTCAAAAGAGATTGACAGAATTACAGTCGCAGTAGTTATTTTGTGAGAAAGAAATCATAAAATCAACCCCATGACGGAGTCAAATTAATGGGTTTTTAATTTGCAATCCTGGCAGGGCAGGTAACTGCTTTGGGGTCCCAGGCCACAAGGGGGCCCCTGAGGGCTGACAAACTTTAAACCAAATCAGTGACTCAATATGTGCAAAGTTTGCAGTGACAGTAGGAAACCTCCCTAAGGGGGCCCCATCTGACAGCACTCACTCTTTTCACTGCTCAGTGTTGCATACATTATTCCTGTGAAACCACTAAGATTGTCAATCAAAAGAAAATAAAGAAGTTATTTATTTATGTACGTTTTTATTGTTCTGGTTTTTAACAGGAACAGGTGCGCGCACATACGCAGCGAACCGGTAGTGTCCCGAAATAAAGCCCGACTTTGTTTTCCACTGACTGCAAAGTCAATCAGAAGGGATTTATTTTTAATTTAAGAATAAAATATGAATATCTCCCTAAATAAATTATATGTCAGGCATTAATAACATGTTCCACAATTTCCCAGTTTGGGATCAATAAAGTAATTCTATTCTATTCTATGTTGATGCCAGCAGTATTTTATCCCTGTTCGACTGCTTTCATCATTTTTTGGAAACAACTGAAGCCTTCAACTTCAGATTGAAGCTCGAAGTTTTAAATAAAGGAGAAAAATAGTGCAATGTCCAGATGACACATTATTTTATGAATGAAAGTGCTGACAGTCGAAGGGGAACAGGTTGCCTTTGTTGGCAATTTTAGTGGTATGATTAAACTAATGAAAAAGCGTAATGCACAGGTGACATTCATCATGGTGAGACTTGTTAAATTGTATTAGTGCAGTGAGCAGAGTTTGGTTTCCTTTAAATCAAACCTCACAGTAAACAAAGAGTGTCGAAGGATACGAACATTTTCTTAGTGCTGTCGATTTGCTCGTTTTACTCTTGAAAGAAAAAGACAGAGAACGCCAGAATGATGGACAAATCAAATGTCGACTTCTGTGTTTCTCTGTCCTAAGTCAAACTGGTGAATAAATGATAAATGACTTCATCTTAACGTCCTCCGTTTCTGCTCATTCATTGAAGTCCCAGTGTTTATCCGACAGGTGAGTGTGAAGCTGTCCAATCAGAAACCAGCCTGAAAGTGTCAGGCTCCTCCTCCTCCTCAGTAGTACTTGTCCGTCAGTGCAGAATCAGAGCTTGTCTTCATGTTTGCACTTTAAAATCTCCTTCTTTGCAACTCGGATATAAAGACGTTTCACACCTTGGGTTTAAAGGTAACGACATCACAGTCTGTGTCACAGTGCAGAGGTGAGTTCTGTCATTTCTAATCTTTCTATTAAGATCTATTCATTGTTTTATTGTTCAAATTTCATTCCACAACGTCCAAAGCTTCCTTCCCCTTCTCTTCTTCAGTGCAGTGAGGGTTTCTCCTGGTAGGCAGAGCTAAGCAGCCACGTGTCCGATCAGGTAAATGTTGTCGTAGAGGTGGCCCACGAAGTCGTCGGAGACATTGTGTGCCGCTCGCCGAGTGTTCCTGATGAACTCCCTCTTGGACATTTTGTTCTTGACGTGAGGGCTCGTCAAGTCGATGGACAGCAGGATGAGACTGTAGCACAGAACGTACACGGCGTCTGCACAGAGGAGAAACCAACATTGTCAAAACGTGATATTCAAACAGGCTCGTTACTTTAAAGGCTTTATATGCGATTTTTTGATCCAGCAGATGTCGCCCTTGAGCACCAGCATGAAACCAAAACAACTCGCGGTGCATCGTTGTGTTAGCATGCTAATGCTAGCGATCTTTATTATGCTCGTATCTTCACACTGCATGTGAATTTACCCGAAATTACCGTGATCTAAAAAAGCAGTTAAGCAGTGAGTACAGTATGTTATTCTTCTTTTCTCTAGTCCCTCAATTAAACAACTTTTATTCGCGAGGGGAGGAGTCAGCTGGTCATCAAACTGATGTCAACAAACTGAAGATAGGACTCTGAAAACATCACAGACAGTGGGACTCAGGTGTCACACTCATTGTAGACAGTCATTACTCTCAGAGTTATTTTCAGAGGATATACTTGATTTATATTATATTTAGTGTGAAAAATCACATATAAAGCCTTTAACTCAAGCATTCAAGGAGGATTTTTTACATTCTAACATAAAAATAATATTTCTGTGAACCAATAACAAACTGGACAGTCATAACATGATGAAAGAAAGACGACCTCTAAAGACAAACAGAAAGGGAAACTGCGTGAATAAGAGTTGCCTAGAGAAAATTATATCCGCCATTTGTGTCACAATGTTTTTAGAAGTTGCCACTAGAAATTTTAATTTTTCTGAGAATATTTTCTGAACATTTTAGAATCTTTACCTTAGAAATGTTCATGAATTTGTGTCGGAAATATCTGGGATATTTTGGAATTATTTCTGGGGGGGAATTGCAGGAACTTTTTACAGGAAGTTTGAGATTTTTTAAGTTTACTTTTCTGAAATTTTTAATTGGAATTATTTTAGTTAGAAAATTTCAACTGAAATTTTGGTGGGGACTTTTGTTCTTCTTCAAGATTTTCCGGAAACTTTTATAAGCAAATTTCTTAGTAAGATTTCATCAAAAAAACTACTTTTTTTGGGGGGGGGAGGGGAAATTTAATTGGGAAATTTTGTGGGCAGGTTGTGTGAGCATTTTCTTATGTCGGAAAATTTCCTGAAAAAGTTTTGAAATTTTTAATCGGACCTTGTAGGGGATTTTCATCTTTAATACTTTCTCTTAAACTTTCTCGTAAATTGTAATAGTTAATTTCTTTTTTGAATTTTCATCAAAAAATTTTGATAGATTTTTTTGTATTTAAAACTTTTACATTTTTTATTTGAGTGTACACATTGGAGCAAAGTTAATGTACAACTACTTTGTCACTTCTACATAGTATAGATCCTTAACCTCTTAAAAACAGAGAAAGAAAACATGCACGGAAGAAACAAGAGCAGCATCATACTAAAAACGTATTTCCCCTAAATCAAATATAATTATGATGAACTAGTCACATGAATGTAAACTGTGCTCCTAATGAAGTGTCCCTCAGCTCTGTCGTATCATCTCCACAGCAGGCTAACTGCAGCCCCCTGTCCATCTGCAGCCTCAGGCTCCGAACCATTACACTAATCCTGCTAATCACAGCAGCAGGTCCGAGTGCTTCACAGGACCAGAGTCAGGGATCGGTTTCTGAACGGTCTGCTGACGTTAACAAAGCTTTTAGTCGGTAAATGCATGGCTCACTGATGATACTTTAGCCACAGATTACTTCAAATAAAACCTGGATGGTTCTGGTGGCTGGATCAGAGGGTCAGTAGTTTAACTGCTTCAAAGTGTGCTGCCTCTGCAGAGTCTGACCGCCCGGCTGCAGGGATTAGTAATGTGGAGATTTATGTTCTAAAAATCTTATTTCTGAACGGTTCAATAACTGAAATAACTCAAATCTAACTTAAATGTCTTGAAATTGACTGACGTGTTTATGCTTTTCAGGGAAATACTGTTCAAATGGTTTAGTCTGGATCAGGTTATACAGTTTTCTTTTGTCCTGTCTTAATTTTTTTTTCAAAGTAAATTTAGTTTGTTCAACCCGTTAACGATACAGACTCAAAGATTGACTATACCCATTATCCTTAGGGGGCGCCAAAATCCATGTGAACTGAGAGATCCTTGTAGCTGCTTTAAATGAAATATTTTAATGTCTCACAGTAGAGCTATTGAGTGGATTATCTCATGGGGGGGAGATATGCCTTATGTATATGTTGTCATTGCAATCCAAGAATTCAGGAGCAAAATAAAAAAAATGTCTGAAATAAAAACTTCAGAGTACAAATGATGCTTTGTTTGACTGACCTGAAAGAGTTTTCTTACATTATTTCCCTGTAGTTCAGTCAGAATCAGCCCTCTGATTAAAAAAATAGGATTCATCAAAGGTATCACAATCCTGCTCAAAACTGGATATTTATTTTTATCAAACTTTAGAATCATTTTCCTCTAAAACAAAATTTGATCCAGCCTGACAGCTTTGATCTAGTTACATTACTCTTTAGCAAACAGGGTCCAGAGGATGAGGCCTCTTTCTTTTGAAGAGCTTTCCTCTTGCGCCACCTTCAGGTCAAAATGAATGTCACAATGTGAGAAAACAGCTGTGAAACTCCCAAGACTGTATGTCTGCAGCCTCGCTGCTCTCGTCTGTGTGCTCTCGCCTGGATGCCTGATGCCGAGCCCCCTGAGCTTCTAATTTTCAACATAAAGCTCCGGAAATAAAAATATCTGTAGTGTACACGTGATATGTCTTTTATTACAAACATACTAGGTGCTTATACATTCAAGACAAAATCAAAAATAAGCAATTTCGCCATTCTATATGTATATCTGCTTTTTTAGTTTAGTCAGTTCAGCTGTTGAAAAAAAACAGCGCTCTAACTCTCCCCTCTGTGTGACTCATTTGAATGTCTTTTCATTCATACAATCATTTGGGCTTCTAGCGCTAGCCGTTGCAAATTTCTGGAGGAGCGGGGCGCCAGAGCTCATGAGACGAGAGCACACAGACGAGAGAGCACGAGGATGCACCCATACTCGAGTCGAAACTCTGGATGATTTTGGGTGATTACAGTGTATAGTCTATATTGTTGGATGATAAACAGTGAGAAACGACGTGATAAAAAGCTGAGAATATGTTTGTTTTGATTAAGAATCAGAGTCATTAAAGAGTTTGGAGATTATGAAGAGAACTATTGAATCTCTGTAACATGTTAACAGTTCCCATCTTGGTCAAACCATGTATTTCGTTTTTTTATACTCAAATATTTGTATGTCATATTTATTGTCATTGTGCAGGTGTAAACGTGTAAAAGTAAAAATATCATCTCAAACCTGCACAAACCCACGCACACACACTCTTTTATCATGACTTAAGCGCATTTATAAAATATTATCTAACTGCACTGCCTGGTAATAGGAACATTATGTGTCCAGAAAACACATTTTTGGATTTTCTTATTTATATATTTTTTTTATTCTTTTTTTGTCTGCCCATAAAGGTTAAAATAATAAATAAATACGTGAAATTAAATAAATTGAGCCTCACGTCTTGGCAGTTTCAACAGAAATGTGGGCTTTAAAGTCCTTTCTTAATGAAAAAATGTAAATCCTTTGTACTATCTTTATCTTCTAGTTCTATAAACTACACGTTATATATAAAGCAAATCTCATAAAATTACCCAGACTTCACAAACAAACAAACAAACTTGGAAATAAGAAAAGAAATTGACAACACTTCATGAAACTTTTAAAGGATAAAAAGAATACAGTAAAACAACAAAACTTTTTAGAAGTTAAAAAAAGATGAAAAGGACAAAATAAAAACAAGATATAAAACTATTTCAAATACTCTTGAATGAGGATTTTATAGAAGCAGATGTGCATGTGTGCATGTGTGTACTGACCAGGACTGAGGCCCAGGTCCCGGACGAGTACCGGGTTGCAGGCACAGAACCTGTGGCTGAACTTGGTGATGAGCGTCTCCAGGTACTCTCCTCTCTCCTCGGGGGCGTGGATGTGTCTGAAGAAGTCCCGCAGGGCATTGGGGAGGAACTGGTTACTGAAGTTATGGAGGGTCACCAACTCGTCCAGCACATCCCTCCTGCAAACACACAAATACAATATAATGGTGTAATAAAAGGAGAGCCAAGTCTTTTTCTTTTAAACGTTTGTAGTAGATTGACTCTAAATGGTTCTCTATGTGGGTTTTATATCAGTGCAGTTGAACTCAGACCAAAGCACACCAAACTGAATTTGCCATAAAACATCAAACACCAGACTGTGTAGACTCAAGTATTTCAAACAAGAGGCTGTCAACTTTTCATCATTACAAACTGCTGTGAGTAACAAGAGGACTGTTTCATGTTTTTCTACCTCTCATCTAAATAAATCCTCAGCATCTTCCAGTTGAGCCGTCTGGTGTAGAAGATGAATTTGGCCAACTCGGTGGGATGATCGACAAGAATGCCTTTAGACATGAAGTAGCTGATACCCTATACACACACATGCAGAGAGAGAGAGAGGGGGGGGGATAATAAATCTTCAAAAGGATCCATCTTATTGAAACTAATCCAGACGCACAAACTCTGATGTTGAAGTGAAACTCCAGACGCTGAAATCAACGACATCACCAAAAAACATGTCTGGACAGTGACATCATGGTCCAAACATTTGCACAAATACAACACATATATAAGTTAGAGGTGGTGTGTGTGTGTGTGCATGCGTGCGTGTGTGTTCTACCTCCTGTGGGTTAGCGTTGAACGTCAGGCTTCCTTCATCCAGCTGCAGGTAAAGTCTCCTGTACGAGAAACCAGCGGGGAGTCTTCTGTTGTAGATGGAGCAGTGTCCCCATGTGGACTTACACAGTCTGCACACACGCGCATACAAAATGAAGGGGAAAACAAATAAAAAAGGAGTCAATAAAACTTGACTTTACATGTGTTGAACAAAGGAACAAAGAAGACAGTTAAAAGAATCAACAGAGTCGTCAAAAAACACGTGATAGATTTTGAATACTTATTAACATCTGTTCGTTTTATTGTGGGATTATTATTTTTATCTGTTGATTTAATTTTGTGTATGAGTGTGTAGCAGCGAGAGACGGGCGTTACCAAACGTTTTAAGGCCGGCTACACAGTGGACGCTTTAAAGAAAGGAGCCACAGGTGAACTCACCCCTGCCACAGGTACTCATCGTTCCCCAGGTCCTGCCACACGCAGCCGGCCAGGCACAGGTCGGTGGCGTTCAGGTACGACAATATGGTGATGCCTAATTCAGGAGGAAGCATCTCTAGATCTATGAAACCGTGCCGCTCTTTACCTGCAGACACACAGAGACAGATACGTTATATTTGCCATGCCTTTTCGATACTATAGATCACTGCAAAGAGGGTGACTGGCAGCAATATTCAATCCCTCCACGACCTGTCAACCTCCAGGACCCTGAGGCATGCAGGTCAAATTGAGGCTCACCCATCTCTCCCCGGACAAGTACAATTAAGACCTTTCTCCCTGGTGAGAGGCTGTGGCCCATTGGGACCAAAATCCCATGGACCCCTCTGTTACCAGCCTCTTTAGTAATGATTTATATAAAATAATAATGCTACTTCAATACATTAATATCCATTAAAAATGTTCCTTCCATAAAACAAACACACACAGCGGTGTGTTTTGAGGTTGAGGTGAGTTATGCTTAGAGGCGGAGAGAGCAGGAGCGGGGTGAAGAGGGACAGACAGTGAGAGGAGAAATAGACGGGCTGGCGTCTCGAAGTGAGAAACAAAAACGTATTTTAATGCAACATAAACTATACTGATATGAACGATATTGTCTTACCCGATAGGTTGTTTGAAAATATATTGATAAACCTTAAAAACCCAATTGATCGCCCAGCCTTACTCTCCACCTTCCTTTTTACACCAAAGCAGAAGGTGAAGCCGCGCTGCTTACATTAGCTCGCTGAACAAAATGTAACATTGGAACATTTCGATTTTCAGCCAATTGAAAAAGGAGAAGCAGCTAATGTACAGAAGAGGACGCACTCTGTAAAATTGGTGCCTCTGTGTCAACAGGGCCTCATAAAGACAGTAAGACAGTGGATTGAGCAGTACAGTTCAAACACACAGTTAGCAGTATCTGGTTTTGTGTGTTAGCGTGTTCCAACCTCCAATGCGTGTTCTCAGCAGGTGGTAGATGTCCGGGCCGTGACAGTGCGGAGGGGCTCTCCTCGGTGGACCTCCATCCCTCCCTGAGACAGAAATCAAATGAACAAACATAAGGACTTTTTCTTCATCAATTCACACATTCATACATTTCACTTCTAACGGCTGTTTAACACGTGACTACAGACCAGACACACTTAGTAAGTGTGATTATTTGACCTGATAATAAATCAGTTACAGAGACTTGACTCGTAGTTAATCTGACACTTCGTAACATTTTGATACATAGTGCTCTAACTGGTGTCCATCAGCATATTTTTGTTCTTTGGTACATTTTAATAAGCCATTAACTGATCAACTGCTGCACATCTACATCCTTTGCATTTTCATCCACACCAATAGTCTGATCAGTTTCACTTGTGGCCTTAACCCGAGGCCGACAGCTGGAGTGTTCCACTTATAACGTGCCTGGAAACTGATTCTGGTTTAATTCATGTCAATTTTTGCCCCAAAACACGACTTCTTATGTGATAGGACAAACCAGTTTGAGAATCCAGCAAGGCAACAGAAACGTTAAAGACGATTCGGTCCTTTTCATTCTCATTGAACTCTGACACTGGAGGCAAATTCAAAACACAGCACTTGCAAATTCAAACCAGAGAAGTTTTCGGGGTGTGAACACATTTTTCACTCAGACTTTATCGGGAGAGTTTCTACTGCAAGCCGCCTAGATTCTTTGTTTTCACATGAAGTCCGAGTGAGCTGATGTGAGAAAGCAGCAGGATATAATTGGGAGATTTACCTTGAGTGAGTGGGTGGGAGGGGGTTGTGACGTTTATTCCCTGCAATGGGTGCAGACCAGCACGTAAGCACGACCTGTACGCTCTCCATGCACGTATCTGAACTGCTGCATTGTTTTCTGTTCATCAGTATGTTCTTGTCCACTTTTTTAAGTTGTTAATGTGATTCTGTCCAACAGGTAGCATTAGCTGTTTTCACATATGCACTCCGGAAAATGTACACACAAACGATTCCCAGTTCCATCTTCACAGTGAAGAATACAGATTATTAATTTATATCTGGTATCAGATCAGATCTGTGTCAGTATTGGCAGCTACCCATAGACCAAGTATTGTATCGGTATGTGACCTCAACAAGTGGGATTGGTGCATCTCTGGTTTCTGGTTACCTGGCTCTCGTCGTCCTCCCTCCCCTCGGTCAGCCAGGTGCTCTGCGAGCTCTTCCTGAAGCTGCTGCTGTTGTCTGGGAGGCAGCCTCCACAGTGCCTGACCCATCTACACAAACACAACAAAATCACATCACTTAATTCATGACAAACAATAACAGTATTTTACCTCACAGCTCAAGTACTACTCAGGATTATAAGTGTAAGTGCTCAGTTTTTATTCTTCACATTACGGATTTAGATACCATGATATGAGTATTCACTGATAAAGAGTAAAACCCTGAGACCAAACATACAATATAAAATAATGTACTATTTTTTAAACAGCTTAATACTATTAACTCTGTATGGATGTTTTAAGATCGCTGTTGTTTTTAAGGCCTGGCTCTGTACATTGAAATAACCTTAACCGAGAAAATATAATAAGCTAACATTAATTCTGCCATTGAATACAGTAGTTGTTGCAGCGACAACTCCCATGATTCCCCGCTAGCCTCGACGTCATCTTTTGTTATTGTTTTGATTGAGAGCTCCCTGGTGGGTAAATATATATATTATTGTATGTTCAAAGGCTTTATATGCGATTTTTAGATCCAGCAGATGTCGCCCTTGAGCACCAGCATGAAACCAAAACAACTCGCGGTGCATCGTTGTGTTAGCATGCTAATGCTAGCGATCTTTATTATGCTCGTATCTTCACACTGCATGTAAATTTATCCGAAATGACTGTGATCTAGAAACGCAGTTAAGTAATGAGTACAGTATGTTATTCTTCTTTTCTCTAGTCCCTCAATTAAATAACTTTTATTTACGAGGGGAGGAGTCAGCCGGCCGCCGTCCCGGCGATGTAAACAAACTGAAGATAGGACTCTGAAAACTCTGAAAACATCACAGACAGTGGGACTCGGGTGTTACACCCATTGTAGACAGTCATGACTCACAGAGTTATTTTCAGAGGATATACTTGATTTCTATTATATTTAAGTGTGAAAAATCGCATATAAAGCCTTTAAGTAAAAGTTACTTTGTTACTTTTTTTAACAACAGGTCTCTCCTGTGTAGAGCAAAGAGGATACGAGGATTTCAATCTCAAACTAGTGTTTTTTAATTTAGGGCAAATCTTTATAAATTAAAGCACAACAAAAAAATACAACATGTTGACACATGATATTTAAAACCCTTAGGGTGGTAAATTTGTGTTTACTCAATAACGGATGTAATTTAAAATGTAGCAAAGTACAATACTTAAAACAAAGCCAAGTCAATGCAAGGCCTCTTGAACTCTTAACGAGCTGCTCTGATTGGATACTTTTAAGCAGATGTCAAATGACTTGGAGGTGGACACATCTGGCTGTAGATGTTTTCCCTGATATGTTTATGATTGTGTGCGATCTTGACAAATATTTGCTGTTTGAAATTGTTTTATTTGGTGTCTTTTAATCTTGTCAATTGTGTACATTAGTTAAATTTGTATGTTTGTGCGTTGCTTGTCTGAAACTCTGTTCATTGTGCTGCTGCCTGTCTTGGCCAGGACACTCTCTCTCTAAAAAGAGATCTTTTTAATCTTTAAAATACGTTTTTTTCCTGGTAAAATAAAGAAAAAAGAAAAATAAATAAACAAGACTTCATTATTTCAAAACAGCCTTTTCTCTCATTTTTATACAGATATTTTATTTTTATAAAGTTAACTTTATATTAAAACTGAAGGTTTGAAATTTACTTTAGTCTGTAAAACAAAAGTCAATTTAGTAAACAATTGGCAGCTATATTTTGTATTATTTTAATAAACTTTCTACGTGATTTCAGATTGAATCACAAATAAAACATCTTTAGTGGTCCAGATTATAAACTAACCACTGACATACAGTCTGTATTTACTGACACAGTAATACCAGAATGTCCTGGAAGCACTGTGACAGTGATGAGCTTTAACATGAGCTCGGTGTCCGGTGTTTTCTCCGTGCTTTCCCTCTCAGCCTGTCTAACGTCAGCCGTGTTGCATAAACAAATCCATCACACTGTTGTAAACATCAACGCTGGAAAGTGGAGCAAGCAAGCTAGTCTGACGTGTAGTCCCGCCTCCCCGCTAATCCCATTGGTAACACTTATCAGAGCGGTTGTCAAAACGGAACACGATTGGTTGAGCCAGCTGTCATCCCCGAGTTATTTTACAGTTAGCTTACAGAGCTAGTTTAAGTTGAAGAAGACATTGTCAAGCCAAACGGTTTAATATTTTAGCCATAATTGAGTACATTCCTTCTGTTTGATGTAAAAGCAAGGTACGGTGTTTCCCGCTGAGAGCCACACAGCGCGGTAACCCGAGCTAACATTACCTACCTGAGTTAAATAATTCCTCTGACAACCCGGCCTGCGCACACGGACAGCTGGAGACTCCGTTTCTCTGCTTTCAAACGAATCCCGCTGACATTTCATTCAGCCGAGTACGAATAAAAACAGAGCAACAGCTCCTGTGTTTCGGGAGGAACCTTTCATACTGTAACACAGTTATCATGTGTTTTCGTCCTCCTCCGCCTCCTCCGGCCGAGTGATGGGAAGATAAAGAACGATTCGACTCTAAGAACCGACTCCTAAAAGTGACTCTAAGAACCGACTCCTGAAAGCGACTCTAAGAACCGACTCCTGAAAGCGACTCTAAGAACCGTCTACTGAAAGCGACTCTAAGAACCGTCTACTGAAAGTGGCTCTAAGAACCGAAAAAGCGACTCTAAGAACTGACTCCTAAAAGCGACTCTAAGAACCGACTCCAAAAAGCGACTCTAAGAACCGTCTAATGAAAGTGGCTCTAAGAACCGAAAAAGCGACTCTAAGAACTGACTCCTAAAAGCGACTCTAAGAACTGACTCCAAAAAGCGACTCTAAGAACCGTCTAATGAAAGTGGCTCTAAGAACCGAAAAAGCGACTCTAAGAACTGACTCCTAAAAGCGACTCTAAGAACCGACTCCTAAAAGTGACCTAGCGGAGCCTAAATATTCGTCTTTAAAAAAAGAAATAAAAGTAGTTTGAAGTTTAAGTTTATTTCGAACATGTAAAAAAAAGAGTAAAGAAAACTTAAAATAAGAAGATGAAGAAGAATATGTATGCTACAAACAATGAAAGAACAAGAAGGTCTCAAATACTTTCTACTTCGATTTACACTTCCAAAAAGGAAATTTGTTTAATCCCACCCCTTCTTCATTAGGTCATAATTTTTATATTACTCTTAGTATAAAATTTTATGTTTTTAAATATAAAACTATAAAGTTTACAATATATAGTTACCTTATATTTATACATACACATAGCCTATAGCCTACTTGTATGTAGCCTATAACCTTAAAAAACTTACATATTTACATGTACATCCTTATTTAGAAAACAGAATAAAATCAAATAAAAGAAGACAGAAGGAAAAAAAATAATAATTAAATAAATAAATATGCAAACAATAATCCATGTAAACAAAGCCCTTCATCATCACGGTACCTCGTGAAAATCACATTTTTATAACCATTATTAAACTGCTTTATGTTTGGACTTTGCTTGAGTTCCACGTTTATACTATTACACAGCTTCACTCCCGAGCTCCGTACTTATTTGTTTAATATTCTCTGGACCATGAAGCTCATACGTTTAGATGCATCAATGCATTTTATTTTTCTCTGTTTTAAAGTGACATTTCAGTTGTTTTCTTGAGATATCATTTTATTCATGATGTATCTCTGGATATCAACGCTGGTTTTCGGTGATTAGTTACTTTTGGACACTTTATCAAGAAATGAACTCGTTATCACAGGAAAAGAGCGTTGTTATCCAGAAAAAGGGGATAAATAAGTCAGGATTTTTTTTTAAACTTCTGATATTCTGAATCAGTGTAGTATAACATTTATGGAGGTATGTCTTCTTAGGGCTTCCATTCAAAACATACCCCCATTTTTTTCCAGAGCATTTTAAAAGCAATAAAAGTATTATTACTTAGGCTATTCATTTCTTAACAAACCAGATTTTTTTGTTTCATTGTATCGCATACCAATTAAGTTGTAAAATTATTATTTCTTTGAGTAGAGTGTTGTTTCTGTTGTACAAATGTATTCTTAAAATATCCTACCTTTTTAATCATTCATTTTATTAGATTAAATGATTATAGGAATTTAGATCTTAAATATTATATTTTTAGATAATCAATAACAAGATAATTTAGTGTTGTGAAGATAGATATACTGAATGTATTTGTTGCATATTCATGATATTGCAGTTATACACATGTAAAATAATGTTAAAGGTGTTCATATCAAACTTTGTAAAATTGTAGTGTTCCAGAAATAACATAATACAAAATCATTTAACATGCTGTGCGTAGGCCTACATAAAGGTTTTTAAGTAAAAACACTGATTCACTTTACAGAATTATAAAAACAAGAAGTCGTGTTGAATGGAGAGCTATTTGGGAGCTAAAAGAGTCGGTTCCTTTTGCTGGGCTGAGCCAAAAACATCCGAATCACTCACAAGAGCCTAAATTCCCATCTCTGCTCCTGTCAACTCTCTGATACGCCCCCTTCCTCTCACCCTCTCTTTACGCAGGCAGATGCATCAAATTATATTACTTTTTTAATATTATTTTTTTAACGTGTTCATTTTCTTCGTGGAAACACTATAGACTGTAAATATTAGGGAAACACGAGCTGGGAGATCTGGGAAACCTGAAACAAAAAGTATAAGCAGCCTGTCTGCTTGTAACGTCAGTGACGTCAGCTCGTTAGAAATCTCCACGTCATGTGCGTAACAGCCAATCATGCTCCGTGCTGTTGATCACCCGGGAGAAACAAAACCAGCTAAGCAGGAAGCGTTAGCTTTAGAGAAACAATTTAGAGCGATTTTCACCTTTTAGAGGAATTAAGATTAGTACCTTAAAGATGTTTTAAGTAAATTAGCTTTAAAGTAGCTCGGAGTGAGTCGTTATTTCACGTCTTCTACCTCATTTGTGTGGCCGCATCTCAGGTAAGCGCTAACGCTTATTCCGGTGTTTTGGTTTAACGAGTTACCGTGTTAACTGGCGACTTTCAGTCAGATACGTTCCCTTGGTTGCAGTTTTACAGTACATGTTGAAGACGTAAAGCGTCGTAACAAATGCCTGTCCAAATATTTATATATATATTGTATATATTTTCAATAATAAACTAAACAAAGAGACATTCGCGAGGACACTTTACGCTTTCAACACTGTTGTAACTATGGTAACCATTGGCATTCGGCTAAAAGTCTCCAGTTAACACGGTCACTTAATTAACAGAAACACGGTTATCAGCATAATGTGACCTTACAACTAATATTTTTCTACAGTATATCGATGACCGAAAATGTTGAAAGATTTCAACATTTAAAGGTAAAGATGCTGTCCACCGGAGATGTCCAAGGTTGTCTCCGTAAACTAGAGACTCTCCTGCGAGTGATAAAATACCCAGGACAGGTCGACTACAACAGGTAGGTCATGACACAGCCACTGTTTCTGATTATAACACTGTTACAACCATAGACTGTAGATATTAAGGTTACAGCACACTGCAAACAGCAAGACAACCTATATAAGCCCAGGCAAACTGCTTTTAGGGAGCTCTAAAACCAGTCACAAAATACCGATTTGTTTTGGTGATAGAGCTCCTGCAACACCAGAAGTTAATATTTACCTTACAGTTTGTATAATGTTACATAAAGTTAGAACAAGAGCCAATCCAGACTTCAGCCTACTCTGTTATAAAGACATGATAAGACACTTTATTGATGGCTCACTGAGTAAAATTCACCTGTTACAACATGTCAAGTTGTAGAGTAAAGGAAAGAGAAATATAATTAGATACAAATACAAACAACAGGGATAACAGCATTTATACAAACTGTCTGCTGTCACCTTCCATTTGTTCAGATAGGAATTTGGATTGAATATTTTATTATACTTATTGTACAATGAAATGATTGATTTTTACTAGAATCATATTGGGAGTTTTTTATTCTGGTATTCGGGACAACCCTAACCCCATTTAAGAACAACATCACTGCCTTTTAACACTAAAATTAAACAAAGTCACAGTTTAAGGGACCTTTCCAAACATTTTCTTCCCATCTATACCACAGGTAAGTACTGCTCTTAAAGTTTGCTCTGATTTTTTAAATAAATAAACCTAACTTGTCCAATTAGAGTCCCATTGCCCCCAACAAATAGCTGTTGTAATGTGGCCTGTCCACCACAAGGTGTCAGTATATTCCACTCCTGCTCTTAGATCCAGATCCAGACTCGCCCTCATTCATGCTTCATTTAACTTTATTCAAACAGAAATATCACTTTGACATTTTTGACACCAAGACACAGTTTTGATTTGTTTGCTTTTAATGTATGCGACATAACCAAGTTTTTCTATATCTTATCCTGTGTATGTGAACAACAATCATATTTATTTATGTCAATAGTTTCTAAAATGTTGATCACAGTAAATTGCCAAAGAGCTTATAAGAGTCTGAATAAGATTGGTGGGTTATTGCCAAGTAGATTTACACTTACACAGAATAAGAAATAAAGAGCAAGTAAACAGCAGATCTCCCCTGTCAAAAACCCCAAATAAAAAAGACAATAAAACACAAAGAATATGATGTATTTTTGAATACATTTATATTTTGAATCTTTATTGAGATTGATGAGTTAAAAATGAGAAATGACCTCGTCCTTTTAAGAAGCAGCTGCCACTCTCTTCCTCAACACAACTTTGTGTAATTTTGATTCAAGATAAGCAGTGACAGAAATATGTAGACATAAGGTATTGTTGTTCTTATTGCACCTTTTTGTTTGCTCCTGCAGCCTGTCCAAAGGAGACCCCTCTGCTTTCCTTCCCATTGTGAGCTTCACCCTCACCTCCTTCTCTCCACCTTTCGCCGAGCAGCTGACGGCGGCAGGATTTGAGTTGACGGGCAAAACAGACCTCCGCTTCACCGACACTTTTTACAAGGTAACACGCACGCTGAGCGCCATGTTTCTTTACATTCCATTCAATTTTCTTTCACTTATCTTGGGCCAGGTGGCGGTGGCTGCCCTAGTTGTCCCTCAGCAACATTTTGTAGCTCCTCCAGGGGGATCCTGAGGTGCTCCCAGGCCAGAAGGGATATATAATCCATCGAGCACGTTCTTGGTCTCCTCCCAGTTCTACATGCCCAGAAGACTTTCAAAGGAAGGCACCCAGAAGGCATCACATACCCGAACCACCTTTACTGGCCCCTTCCAATGCGAAGGAGCTGCGACTCTTCTCTGTGCTCCTTCCGGATATCTGAGCTCCTCACCCTACCTCTAAGGCTGAGCCCAGCCCTCCTCTGGAAGAAACTTATTTCAGCCGCTTTTATTCACTATCTTATTCTTTCATCACTACCCATAGCTCATGACTATAGGTAAGGATTGAAATGTAGATCAACCGGTAAATTGAAAGCTTTGCCTTTCGACTCAGCTCCCTCTTCATAACGACGGTCTGGCACAATACTGCTGACGCTGTCAGACATACAACCATTGCCTCAGACTTGGAGGTGCTGACCCTCATCCCGACTTCTTCTGCCTCGGCTGCAAACCGCCCCAAGGCCTGCTGGAGGTCCCAGATTGAAGAAGACAACTCTGAACAACATCATCTGCATAAAGCAGAGATACATTTCCGAACTCCCCAAACTGGAAACCCTCCACTGTTTCTCTACCTCACTGTAAATCTAGCAGTCTGTAGTGGTTGTTAACGTGCGTGTGCGTGTGCGTGTGCGTGTGTGTGTGTTCTGCTGTGTTTGTGTGTAGGTGCTGAGAGATATCTTCCACTATAAGCCCGTCCTGACCAAGCAGCAGTTCCTGCAGTGGGGTTTCTCTCAGAGGAAAATCTCTGTGGTGTGTGACGTCATTAACTTTGTGCAGCAGAAACACAACCAGCTGAAGAAGGTTTGAATAATGTCACTTCTTCTTCATTAAAGTTGTTATTTGATCTCTACCATCAGAGGACTTCCTGTTTCTGTATGAAAGAACAGTCCGAGATCAAAGAATCACATCTGCTGTCTTTGCATGTTTGTATTTTTGCTATTGTACTTTAAACATAATAATAGAACTTAATGTTCAAAATTAATGGATTTAAGAAAATTAAAAGAGGAAATCCACGTATAAATTTAAATATTGCACCCATTATTTTAGTGATATTTTTTCTGGAATGTATCTGTCATGTAGAAAAGGGTCATATTTGTATTCTACACATCATTTTTAAATGTGCAATAACATATATGGTAGTAAATATTTACTTTGTTTATTATGTAACTAACTTTTGTCAGGCCCCGTGTCCACCTAGCGTTGTTTTCAACGAGCAGACAGCGTGCGCAGCAGAAAGCAGCCGCCTGGAGAAAAGGCACAGCACCCTTCTCCTTTTTCGTGCGGTCACACCGAGCGCTCAAGTTGAGAATCCCTCAACTTTTCAGAAAGCCGCTGTTGACGTCACCAGCACTCTTTTACCAAATATATAATACCCCCTGTAGTTTTACCGCCTACGCATCATGTCTTGTACCCACATCCTCTTTGTGTTTGATCGAGAAATAAACAATCTGAAATAAAAAACATACAGTAAAAAGTAACAGAGCAGTGTCAGTCAATCAGCTGCCGTTGTCAGCTGACTGTTGCCATGGACAGATGTGCAGCGCTTTTCTTCTCAGCGCACAAATGCTTCGTGCTAATGCCCCCCGAGTGCACAACCAGCGCTTTTCTGGTACGATAAAACGCTAGGTGGAGCTTTAAGGGGGCCTTAAAGTGTTGTTGTTGAGGGGATCAACTGCGAGTTGAACCTTCACACTGTTTCATCATCATCATCATCATCACCATCTCTATTGCCAGCCTCAGGAGTCCATTAGAAAACATTTAAAAGACAAGCAAAATAAAAAACACAGGGTAAAAACACATACAGAAAAAACATCACCAATATTCTGAAAGACAACTGTACAAGGATGACTGGTATCGCACGTGTTTATTTAGCTGCTGTCACAAGTAAATGACTTTTTCTTAACTTCATTTCTGTTAAAAAAACAAAACAGTTTCGCTCCATCCTCAACACCAGCTCATCTCTCCATTATCACTACCTGCCTCCTCATCCTGTATTCATTGTGTCTTTATCCATCCCTCCATCCATTATGTTTTTATCCTCCCTTCTCCCCTCTCTGTCCACCTGGCACTTTGACATTACCCCTTCATGATCCAACCTTTCAACATGTGTGTTTTCTTGTTTTTTGTAGCCCAGAGTCAGATGTCCGGCCCAGAACAAGGAGGGCAGGCCGGACGGCAGAGGAGAAGTTCAGCCCACACTAATCGTAAGTGGAGTGTAGAAGGTTGCTTTCTTAAATCAGTGCTTTAATCAGGTGAGAAGAGTCAGACAGGTCGTGTATTAGACTTCTTAATCAGTAAGCTAAGTTCATTTTCTTCAATTTAGTGCCTTTGTGTTTGTTTTTCAGGCGCCTGATCAGCCACTCGTAGTGAATCACACAGAATATCAATCCATCTTCCATGCAGAAAGGTTCTCCTCCAGTTCTCCTGGAAACATGATCACAGAGGAGGAGGCAGATGAGGAGGAAGAGGAGGAGGAAGATGAGCAGGAGGGCGACCGCCTTCAGGTGAGTCTCTCTATCAGGCAAATACAGTGACGGGCCTGATGAAGGCCTTATTCATTACCTCAATCTCTGCAAACACAGCGACATCTGGTGGCTGTTAAAGGTATAGCAGTTCTCAGCACCACACTGCACTTTAATAAATTAAGAAAACGTTTCACTTTCATTATTGTAAAGAGAATTCTAGAGCCAGATTGTTCCAAAACGACAGCACAGAAATAACACAACAAAGTCAAATATAAGTGAAATCCCCCCAAAAAAGTGGATCGGTGTGTCTCTGATTTCTTAGCTGTTAAACTTTCTAAATTGTGAAAATGAATGAAGCTTTTTGGAAAACAGTGATTTTTAAAAGCTCCAGACGTCATGAAACATTTTTTATTTTCTCTATTTTACACAAAACCAGACAGAATGGGTGGAAAGAAAGATTTTAGAGCTTTTGTATCATCTGCCCATCTCCAGTTATTAAATTGAATTACCTTAAAATATTTGGATCCAAAAAGATTTCAATAAAACAAGATGTTTAGTTCCTCTTGGTTAAAAAATTAACATGGAGGAGATGATCATCTTTGACGGATAGCCAACCATATTTTAAGGAGCAATATATTAAATATCAACTGAATGAAATGATAAAGTGATCTTACTATATGATCAGACATTAAGTAAACATGCTGTGTTGAAGTGCTGGCTTCTCTGACAACAATGCAGCAGCCAGTATGTCCTCCTCCTAACTTTAGATTCTGGTCCTGAATGCTCTGGATTTGTTTGGACCAGAGAAGGAAGGCGGTTTTAAGGAACCCCGACACAACGGTTTTGGGCGCCCCTCAGATTGCCAGGCAAACAACAAACCAACAGGTGTTGCAGCAATGAAAGCGGGCAAGCAAAATGGTTCAGATAGAATTGACTCTACCCTACCTAAAAAGCCTCGGTATTTCCCTGCTCTCGCCCCAATGACAACTGGGATTGGCTCCAGCCCCCCTGCGACCATTAAAGGGAAAAGCGATATAGATAATGGATGGATGGATGGATCTGGCATCACATTAAAAATGAGCATATCGTTTTCCCAAAACAGTGAAATATTTCATTTCAACATTTGTAATGTTGTCTTTGAGCTATTTTCAGTGAAATATGGGGCATTACTGTTTTGCATATCATCACATTCTGTTTTTATTTACATACTACTCTTCTGGATGTAAAATCAGTCTGGTCTGTGTCTCAGTCTCACTCAGAGCTAGAGGGACGACTCTCAGCTCTGGAGGCCCAGCTACAGAGTCTGCAGCCTGGACTGGACCGGATCAGAGTCCTGGAGAGACGCCTGGAAGACCTGGAGAGACGGAGACACACAGATAAGGTTCAGCACTCACTCTTTATCATCAGTTATTTCCCTCATCAGTCAGACAGCAGAGGAAATCTTCTTTATGAAATGTTTCTCACAGAGTGAAGGTGACGTGGTGATCATCTCCAGAGAGAGCTGGGAGAACCTGATGAGCAGAGTCGTTCTTCTGGAAACTCAATCAGAACTTAGAGACACACAGGTACCTCACCTTCATGTATCTCTTTACTTATACTGACTGTATACAAACCTAATCATGGGAACATGTTCAGGTATGTTCTGATTACAAACTTTTAAGATTCAAATCTGAGCGAGAGCAACAGTTTCTACCTCAGATGAAGAAAAACCATTCAGTTGTTGCAGAAGTTAAACTACACAATCAGGGCATTTAGAAAATATATAAACGAAGTAAGCTTTTTTTACACACGCATAGTTGGTAACCTGCTTTGAAAAAAGACCAAACATACAGAACTATAATCATTAAAGGTGAGATGGCTACACGAGCCACACGGATACATACATGTAAACAATTCTGACACACTTTCTCCAGATTAAATACTAAAACACTCTGTGCTTCGACAACATGAAGGGTGATTAATAAAATGCCTGATTAGTCTCCATGATTCATATTCTGCTACTTAACATGAACAAATCAAATCAAATCATACCATTAAAAACAAGACATGCTGCTTTCTGGACACACAGCAATTATTGTGATTACAGTTAAACAATAGTGGTCAAATTTTTGACAATCGGAGGCGGGGTGATTCTGTAGAGTTCTTAATATTTAAACCCAACAACCCCAAACAAATACAACCCTCCCTGTGTACATTCCTACACTTAAAATAATTTCCCAAGAATGAGTTCCACCTCAGAGATAATTGACTAATACGAGCCTCATTGTTTCCTGGGAAGGTTTGGAAGTTCATTCCTCTTGCAAGCTAAGAGGGGAGAGAAAAAACCTTCTCTATGTTCTTCTAATAATAATAATAACTTAATATCTATAGCACCTCTAAAAAACACACGTTTACAAAGTGCTTTGATGTACAGCAAATGCATAAAAAGAACAAAGCAAAAAGAATCCAAACAGAAAAAAAGACAATACAAAAACCTCTTTAACCCAACCAGCACAAGATGCACCAAGATGGTGATATTTATACTCTGAGCAGAGAAGAGGGAGGTGATTACACACCTTTCCCCCCGTTTGTCTCAAAGAAAGTGTCTGCATGAAACACAAAACTAAGGGAAGGGTTCCCACCCGTCCTGGAAAACCTGGAAAACAGTTGACTAATTTTCCAGTACTGGAAAATCAGAGAAAAAGTCAAATGCCCTGGAAAATCACATGTTGTCCTGGAAAATTATTCCAACACTCTCCTACAGGGTTTGACATTTTCATCACCATACGTTAATAAAAGTATCTATTTGTTGCATAATCCACACTAATAATAATAATAATATGTGTGTGGGTGTGAGATGTGTGAGCATTCAAAGTTCATCATGAGACGATACACAGTGTCCTGCAAGCAGACAATGTGGTGGAACCGGTAGCTGGCGTTTGTAGGTGAAGTATTGCAGAACTATGCAGACACACCAACACACAAGTCTGTAGTGTTCACGACAGCATAGACCACTACGACGTAGAGTCAATGCAGAATTATAAGTCAACCCTTTCCTTTACCCTGATTAAATAGTCTCCAGAAGATTCCCTCTAGGTTTGTCTGAAAAGATGTCCTGACCTTCTTGAGATTGAGATTGAGATTGAGATTGAGATTCAACTTTATTGTCATTACACATATACAAGTATAGAGTAACGAAATGAGGTTTGGCATCTCACCAGAAGTGCAAATAAGCAGAAAGTGCAAGAGTCTGTGCTATGTACAGTAATTGAGTGCAAGAGTCTGTGCTATGTACAGTAATTGAGTGCAAGAGTCTGTGCTATGTACAGTAATTGCAAAATTTACAGATGTAGACAAAGAAAGTGAATTATTAGGTAAATCTGGATGGCTGGATTAATGGGATGCAATAAATATAAATAAATGCTATAAATAAGTAATGCTACAAAATAAGTGTGCCAGAGGGAAGTGGTGCCCCTTCTTAAATCTTGTTTCTATTTTTGAGAATTTGTCATTAGTATTCTGTTTTCAGAGGGAGAAATCAAAAGTGAAAATAAAAACTCTAAATCCCCTCTGGCCCACTGCAGCACCACCCACAGTACATTCAGCTCACCTCCTGTTTGTTAGAAAGAGACGTCACATCGAGCTAATAACAAAACGCCATTTCTGCCCTGAATGGGAAAAACCCAGTTTAATGAAAAGTACATGTTAGTGAGGAACAGAGAAACATGGAGGAGCTTCTTCATCACACATACCCAGCTGTAAACTCAGATTATATGTAGAAACGTCAAATGTTACAAATGTAGTGAAGCTTATTCTAGCACTGATCCATTTCTCAGACTGATCTCTGTTTCTGTCCTGTCTCTCTCAGCTCAGTGTCCCACCGCCGTGTGTGTCCTCGTCCTCCGCCTTCTCCAACATGTCTGTTGCCTCAAAGGTGAGCTGAACACTCTGCTCTCCGACTGTCCAATCATTTCATGACATCCTGTCCGATCAACAACATGCAAATTTGGCAGTAAGTTTGCTATGTCAGATTAGTCATGCTTACTAAATTATCAAATGTCATTCAGTATTTGTTCAAGCTTCTGATTTTGTCTTCTTTGTAGCGTAATTAAATTATTATGATGTTATATCTTTATTTAACCTCGGATTTAAGAAGGGGCACCACTTCCTGTTAAAGGAAGAAATTAACTTTAATGGTATAAGTTAATTAATTAATCAGTCAGTTTCATATCTTGAAAGAAGTAAGTTCTGGAAATGTTAAACCAGAAAACACACAAAGTCCTGAATTTTATGTGTAAAATTTAATATAAAAAGGGGTAAACAATAATGTATAGATGAAACAGATAAAGAATATGATTATTATGATCAGGATAATGCAATTATAATGTATGGTGACATTATATATTTAGTAATGAGATAAGACGCGGTATTGTTTGAATGACAGAAAATGGTCAAAAAGAAAAAGTTGATAAAGGTATTTTGGGATTCTATTTGGATTTAAAGGAGGGCTCTGAATAGACACAACTCAAGACTCAATCTTCCAACACCCCTTGCCACCAGCAGTCTTACTGTGAGATGTGTTCAATTGAACTCCGCTGGCTGGTCCCACGCTTCAGTCTCTGGCAAGCGGTTCTTTTCAGGCCCAGAGAGGTCCACGGGCCAGATTAGATGCCTTGACACCTTAGTCGGAGTGTGCAGCTGGGATGGAGATTGTACGTCGGTTCAGCTGTCGTCTCAGAAGCTCCAAGAGATCCAACAGGAAAAATATGAAGAGTCTTTTGATACGTCGATTTCCAATTCAGATTAACCGGATGGCCATCTTGATGAATCCAAATTAAGGAATTGCTTTCAAAATTGAAGAGCAAAGACTTTGGAGAAGAAAGTTCAAAAACCTTGCTTGAGCCAGAAAGAATTGATGTTCCAAAAATTGTGCGTGAAAAAGAAAGTTCGGCAGAGACTCGTCTCTACGGCACAAACTTAAAAGAAGTGATTCGGACCGAAGTCCGAAGAGAAGCGAGCAAGCGCTGAAGCTCTAAACTTCAAGAAACCAAAACTAAAAGAACCCAAAGATCTGAGCTCAGTGTGAACTCTTATCTGCTGGCTGAGAGGGGGGGTCTGCAGGCAAAGAGGGGTGCCGCCCACGGGTGACTCCCATTCTGACCGGAGGACAATTGTTCAAACTAAACCGAGTTTACTCAATAAGATTAAGAATAAGAATCCAAACATATATACGTCACCATACATTCATTTCGATATTATTTATATCAGATCCACGTTGATGTAGGTTCACGTCATATATTTAGACAAACATTTCTATCAGATTCATGTTGAGATGAAAATCACACCATCTGGGAACATCCTCAATTAATCCCAGCCTGTAGGTGAACAAAAACATGTTCTACAGTCAGCATTCTTAATAAGACATATTAATAAAGTAGGAAAATAAATTGGTGTCTTTAAATAACACCTTCTATAGCTAATATCAAAGAGTATGCTTTATAACACATCTAAATGTATAATTATGAAGGTTACGTATTCATGGATATTCTAACACGAGATGGCAATAGCGCTCCACGTCAAATTTCTATTAAACATAATATAACTCTTATTGCCGTTCTGAAGATCAGATTTTGAGTTTAAAAAGATGATTATGATACATTCAATGTGACAATTACAAATATCTAGATGAAGAAAGACATAAATGTTCATTTGATGCAGAATTGAACGCTGTGGTTTAATTCAGCTCTTCAGCAGTCCTTCAACAGATGGTCAATTTTACGACTTTGCAGAAACTGGTTTCGGTCGCAGTTCATGTGTTTGGGGTCAATTCGTAGATAGCAGAGTGTTCTGTTTCCGCTCGGTTGTTTATTCCAGGTGTTGTAAAAGTTCATAACATCCTGTCTGAGAGGGAGACTTAAGTCATTGATCAGTTTCTTTGTTCCTTGGTAAAAGTAATGTTAATCCACAGTCCTGAGTCCTGCAGGGAGAGAGTTGTAAACGTGGCTGCTGATAACGGCTACATCTTCTTCAAACAGATTATACAAATGTTATTATCATGATTCATCATGAAACAAACTTAAGCTTGTGTTTTTTTTCTGTAACACATAACGCTGTGTTTGACTATTGGACTAACAGATAAATGTGTCTACTTTATGTAACCAATTGTTAAGAAAGGAAACGTGTTATCTTTGCGTGTATAACACTTTGAGGCTTTTTATTTAACCGCGGTGAAACTTTCTATAGTCCACATTGAAAATGCTAAGTTTGGGAGTTTAATGTTTTAACCTCCTTTCTTTTGTTGTCTGTTAATATCCAGGAGGATCTGAAAGAGAGGCTGGAGAGGATAACAAACATGTACGTTCCTTTTAATTTCTACATACTTAGTCTTTTCTTTTCTACAAAACCTCAGGGAGAGCCTCTGGATGAGGAGAAAATCAATAATACAAAAATAAATAAATCATGATATCACAAAAAAACAGGTTTATAAAGTTGTCCATATAGTTTCTGACACAAGTGTGTGTGTGTGTGTGTGTGTGTGTGTGTGTGTGTGTGTGTGTGTGTGTGTGTGTGTGTGTGTGTGTGTGTGTGTGTGTGTGTGTGTGTGTGTGTGTGTGTGTGTGTGTGTGTGTGTGTGTGTGTGTGTGTAGGATGAAGAGCACCTCCAGCCTGCTGAAGAACTCTGAATCCTCTACAACAGACTGCAAATAATCTAATAAAATAATCATTGTATCCATTGTAAATGTATCCATCCGCCTGTTTTTGGTGTTTTATGATTATAAACTTGGTAATAAACTGGACAAACGTGATTCTAACTTCTAAAGAACAAATTTTTTTTGCTGTATTGTTTTAGTCCTCACTCTTTAAACTGCAGCTTGTTAAAATGTGTTTCTCCTTTCATCGTGTAAACAGGATGATTTAGTTCAGGTTGTTTTCTTTCAATGAAAAATCTATTTGTTCCGTCTTCCATTTCTGAAAAATGATTGACATATTGAACAGTAACATGTTCAAGATGACTGATCCCTGACTTCATGTTTTAGAGAATGGGATGAAATCCGATAAAAGAGGACGTATTTACAGAAACACTTTGTTGTAGTTGGAGAGAGAGAGCGGGGAATAACACGCGGCTGGACCCGAATCTGCACTACTTGAGGGAAGGCAAAGCAAATAGGCTTTTTAAATATATAAAAGGTATCATTTAAATGAGCTTTTCATTTCATTCTAAAAGTCTTTGTGATGCTTTCATTCCTTTTTGTTATATTTTTATTGGCCCATTTTTGCCTTTCTTGGATAGGACAGCTGAAGAGAGACAGGAAATGTTGGGAGAAGAGAGTGGGGGGATGACATGCAGCAATGGGCCAAGGTACGGATTTGAACAAACAGCCACTGCGACGAGGGTGTTGACATAACCACTAGGCCATCCAGCGCACAAGTCTTTGTGATGCTTTTAAACTGAGAGGATATTACTTGACAATCATCTGCGACAGGTTGAGCAATCTGATTTAAGTCAGTCCCAGCTCCATGGACACCTCTTCAGTGGCATTTGTACCTACACATGGTCCTATTCTCAGTCTATAAAATGAGTGAGCAAACATTGGCACATATTGAATTGTGACCCTCACCTCGCAGGTGCTTTTAAAACCCCACCTTGATGTTTTTTTAAAGGAGGTCTTCTAACTTACTTAATCTCTGAGTTATGTAGGCGGCAGTAGCTCAGTCCATAGGGACTTGGGTTGGGAACCGGAGGGGCGCCGCTTCAAGTCCAGGTGTGGATAATTAATAAAGAAGTTGGTCTGGTAGGTAGGTACCAGGGCACCGAACCACCAACTGCTCTAGTGCGCTCAGTGTGTATCATCTCTCTGTTAATGCATGTCCATGTGTGTGAGAAGCATGTCTCTCAATAATAAAGTATCAAATCTGAATTTATAAAGTATATCAAATAAAAAATAAAAGTCAGATCTGCTTAAGAAGCCTAAACATTTCCTCTCTTATATTCCTTATGGTAATTTTCCATGGCAAAATTGCATACATTGTTCCGTGATCAGAGGCTTTCCTTTCATGTTATTTATTATATCTCAGCCTGTCGTTAGGTTGACTGAAAGTGAGGTTGAGACAGGATTTTACAGCATGGTGGCTGCTGCTGATGAGTCTCCAGAACCCCCTGCAGGAACAGATGGGTGACATCAGTCAGGCTTATTCCATTAGTATTTACAGTGCATGTCTAATAGGGTTAGGGTACTGATATCTTTAATCAGGCGGCTTAGGACCAGATTTGGGAAGAATGGGGACACGCTGGACAAAAGCACCACATTTTTTCCACATAGTCTCCATCACAATAGCTTTCAATTTTTTGGGGGGAGCCACTTCATCAAGATGGTGGTTCCAAGATGGCAGCACCAATATGTCTTCCAAGCCACTTAAAAAGTAAATCTTGGTGTCAATATATACATTTTCTGGGTCAAGGAATGCATTAAAATACCTAGATCATTATTTGTGCCAAGATCAAATACACATGTTAAGTTTGGCAATGTATTACATCATTTTCCTTGGTTCCTAGGCGGTTGGACATGAACCCTTTGAGGTCTGAGGCTATTTTGGGCCGTTTTGCTATAATTGTCATTTTACTTATGTAGGCTATACTACATCAAAAAGGTTTACCATACAAGTGCCTGGTATCATTTTTTTCAGCACAACCTCACCTTTATCATCTGACCGTTCATTAGTCACCTAGAGATAATGTATCAACACGCAGGACCCAAACAAAAATATAGAATTTGTTTTGAGAAAATCATTATTCTAAAAACACAGATTGCAGAACGAACCGTTTTGAATTGATAAAAATTTACTTCAAATGAATAAAAATTGAAATATAAAAGTACATAAAAAAACTGCCACTACTCAAAACTAAAATAAAAATAATAAGAACACAAATAATAAATGGAAATATATAAAAGGACATTTGTGTTATGTTCCCCAGTAAACAAAACACTGCACATTTACAAAAAGGTACCACGTAAGTGGGCCTGTGGTTTCTTTCAGGTGGAAGAAGAGCATAGCCCTTCAAACCCCCACTAATTCTATCAAAATGATAGACAAACATAGAATTGGAGTTTGAAACAAAAGATCAGTAGGAGTCAACAGAGGGAGTCAAAAAATGGTCAAAAGAAAAAGGTGTTTTCAAAACACACACTCAAAATGAGAGATTCATTCGAAAACAAAATCACAGAAAGCCAACTGATGGTGTTGACTCTCTTGATACACTCAACCACTCGAACAAAGAAGCATTCCACCTCCCTATAAAGCCTCCCAGCCCAGCTGATTGTCAGCAGCCATCAGTTGTGGAGAGCATCACAGGTGCATTCAATAGCTTCTGACTAGCAAGGAAACCTGTGTGTGTGTTTGTGCACTAGATATGGCACTGCTCAAAGCAGTTCATATCCACTAAGGCAGAGTCCTAAGTCACAGGCATTTCACTTCCACTGTGTCAGGTTTGTCTTTCCGTCCTCAAGGCTGCAGCCGGACACTTTTTTCACCCTTGTGTCTTGCTTGGATCTGTGGGTACTGCGATGGCAACAGGAAGATGGTCATAGCTCCTGCTGCTGTTGCTGGGAACACCCGTCCTTGTCTGTCCCTCATAACTGGGCTGTCAGTTCATCTAAAAAGTCCTTGACCCTTTTTCAAACCGGCCACTACACCCTACCTCTACCCACTACCCCTCCGTTTGCACGTCCCCGGGGAGGGTCCGCCATATTAAGTCCTTCCCAAACCGATTAGCGGGGAGTGGTAGTAGGTTATAAAACCCTCCACCAGCGAGTGTGCACCGATGCCGACTTTCGGATCACGTGCAACGCCTATTGTGTCCGGTCGTCATGGATGAAGCAACCTGTGAGTTCAAGTGTCTATAAACACTGCTCCAACTAAGATAGACATTTAATATCGTCATACAGACGTTAACAACTTCAAATGTGTATTGAGGATCAAATATATGTTTATTTATTGTAAAGTGTTTATATTTACAGGGACTGTTGCAAAAACAAAAGAATATTAAATCATGTTGCAGACAACTTTTCGCTGTTAATATTTATTTCTTATTTTTCTACTTTTGATGTCTTTGTGAAATCTCAATTCAACAACAAAAAAATACACTTTTTGCTGCTCTGATGTTCAACAATATTATCCTTCTCTTTGCATTAATTTAGGACACCCTGTTCTAAAAATTACATTAACTGAAATGATAAATTACAATAAACAATGTAGGCTCAATCTAATAGTTTTGTTATAAGTCTACACTAATATAACTAAAGAAGAAGAATAATCTAGGCTACATAAATATTTTTACAGAATGCATTAGCTACAAAAAAAAAGCTGTTCCCGAAAGATACCGCTGAGTAACCATGGTAACATACAGTTCCTGTTTCCACCTGAGAGAGGGAAGTTTGTCCCAAAGCCTGCCGCTGTATTTCTACGCTACACCTTGATGAAGGGGACTTCATTCAGCTGAGAGTGTGACTTCTAACGGAGTGCACTCCGTCATGGAGGGGGAGTGTGTAGGGGATGGTTTGAAAAAGGGCCCTTGTGTGTCATGGGCTTCACTTGTTTTGTCTAGCTGATGTCACAGAGGAGGATGTAGGCATTGCTAATTTACATACTGATTTGCAGTGTTTACCAACCTGCCCAGATTGTACACATTTCTTTTGCGTGAACAATTTTAATAACACGGCGTTGAACAAATAAACAAAGCATTTCTGTTTGACAAACGCACCCAGATGAACCACACCTGGTGCTGGCTTAATGACAAAGTAAAACTGTGACCATTTTTGTTGATAGTTGTGTCAAATCTTACATAATAATTTCAGCTATTTTTTCCCCAAAAACATTTTTAACTTAATTCAATCAACATCGGCGAAGAGGATTATTGTTGGGTTTATTGTCTTGAGTAGCCGACTACTCACTTAGCCAACTACTTTCTTCCATTGTTGATTCAGTAGTAGTAGTAATTTATTACGGTCAACATACAGTTTTTGTGTGTTTGGTATCATTTTAAAGGGGCATTCTTTATTTTAATTCAAGCCCATTGACAAACATTGAGGTAACTGTGGCTCTTCAAATAGTCAATGACACACATTTATTCACAATTTTTCGCCTTAAAAATTTTCGCCTTTTCTACTTTTGATGTCTTTGTGAAATCTCAATTCAACAACAAAAAAATACACTTTTTGCTGCTCTGATGTTCAACAATATTATCCTTGTCTTTGCATTAATTTAGGACACCCTGTTCTAAAAATTACATTAAATTAACTGAAATGATAAATTACAATAAACAATGTAGGCTCAATCTAATAGTTTTGTTATAAGTCTACACTAATATAACTAAAGAAGAATAATAATCTAGGCTACATAAATATTTTTACAGAATGCATTAGCTACAAAAAAAAGCTGTTCCCGAAAGATGCCGCTGAGTAACCAGGGTAACATACAGTTCCTGTTTCCACCTGAGAGAGGGAAGTTTGTCCCAAAGCCTGCCGCTGTATTTCTACGCTACACCTTGATGAAGGGGACTTCATTCAGCTGAGAGTGTGACTTCTAACGGAGTGCACTCCGTCATGGAGGGGGAGTGTGTAGGGGATGGTTTGAAAAAGGGCCCTTGTGTGTCATGGGCTTCACTTGTTTTGTCTAGCTGATGTCACAGAGGAGGATGTAGGCATTGCTAATTTACATACTGATTTGCAGTGTTTACCAACCTGCCCAGATTGTACACATTTCTTTTGCGTGAACAATTTTAATAACACGGCGTTGAACAAATAAACAAAGCATTTCTGTTTGACAAACGCACCCAGATGAACCACACCTGGTGCTGGCTTAATGACAAAGTAAAACTGTGACCATTTTTGTTGATAGTTGTGTCAAATCTTACATAATAATTTCAGCTATTTTTTCCCCAAAACATTTTTAACTTAATTCAATCAACATCGGCGAAGAGGATTATTGTTGGGTTTATTGTCTTGAGTAGCCGACTACTCACTTAGCCGACTACTTTCTTCCATTGTTGATTCAGTAGTAGTAGTAATTCATTACGGTCAACATACAGTTTTTGTGTGTTTGGTATCATTTTAAAGGGGGCATTCTTTATTTTAATTCAAGCCCAATTGTGCAAACATTGACAAACATTGAGGTAACTGTGGCTCTTCAAATAGTCAATGACACACATTTATTCACAATTTTCGCCTTAAATATACTTTTTATTTTAGCCCTGTGGCATCTAGGAACATCAGGGATATAAAACTCAGAAACTGGAATACTCACAGTTCCAGTTTAACTATTGGCATCCACTCGCTTGAGACTCCGCCCGCTGTGACCTAGCGATGATAGCCTAGATGATGACCTAGTGATTTAGCACCTATATATAAGAGACAGTGCTGAGTGTCTGACTCAAACACAGCAACATCGCAGGAGGAGCAGGGACAACATCGATTCACCTCTTTGATTTGATCTGGAAAAGGATGGCTCTTACACCCGGGTAAAAACCAGCATAGACCAGCACAGCATTTGATACGGTTGAATATTATTTCTGCTCTAAATTTACAATTTTATAATCTTTCTAAACTTCGGTGTGCACAACTTTTTATGGAAAATAATCAAAGTCCTGTCTCTTATTGACGCCTGTCCCAAGTAAAGGCAGGATCATTTCATAGACTGAAGTTAATAAAAGCCTGGCTATTAATAGAACTTTTACGTTTTGTTTTTTTACTGTTCATTATGCAATGTTTTAGAACCAGTTTTACGAGTTACTAGAAATTATTTCGATTTGAAAAAATGAAAACATCAACAAAGCCGTTCTGTTATATATTAAACTTAAATATACAATTTAAGCTTTCTCTTAAAAGCCAAAAGTGTATTACAAGCAGCCAAAGGGTGGAGCAATAAGAACCAAATGCAAGTATTTCTGGAAAATTTTGTCAAAGAAGTTTTTCATCAAGTTTAAAAAGATACGCTAACAAAAGATAAGTGTGTATTATTGTTTCTGCAGCACCACCTGAGGGTTAAATGGTATGAAATCTCCATCTTTAAACAACTTAATACAAATTCTAACCACCACAGGAACATGTTTCCATCATAAATGAGATACCCCGTAAGTCTCCGGAATCAGACCATTAGAGTGCCTGAGCAGCGGTGTTACACATTGAGTGATAAAATCACTGTAACATTTTATCACCAAGAAAAGTAATAGCGCACATCTCTTCACCAAGATGTACGATTTTAGAGTGAGAGCTGGCAACAGATATTCTATATCTTATATAATATTAACCTAATTAAACTGCAGGCTGCTCCCCTGGTGCCTGTTAGAGAGGAGACATGTACAAGATTTTACTGGAAATGATTCACATAAGCTTTTTCTCATGAGATGACTGTTTTTTAGATGACTGTTTTAAGGTTATTTTGTCACAAATCATTGTCTGGTATACAGACAAGCTGAATTAAAAGGTACGAATCCAGACTGTGTGATTCATGTCCTCTTGTATTTTATACATCTGTTTTGACCCAAAGGAGAAAGGACTACCTGGAGGATTCCAAGTACTTCATGGATGTGGCTTTACTGGCTGCAAAGAGGAGTAAAGACCCCAATACTCAGGTGTGTGTGTGTGTGGTGTGTGTGTGTGTGTGTGTGTGTGTGTGTGTGTGTGTGTGTGTGTGTGTGTGTGTGTGTGTGTGTGTGTGTGTGTGTGTGTGTGTGTCCATCAATCTGGATCAATACACTGACTTGCTTTCTACCCTTCACTAAAGTAGTGTGACTGAGCGATAAATTGATTGTATCTATTAATTACTATTTGTGGACTTTGTGTGACAGTAAAAATGTAATCGTTATCCAAAGAATTGAAATACGGTATCATGATGAAACTGGTGATTTACAGCTCTGTGTGTGTGAGTAGTGTGTAGTCTCTATCGTTTATACACACTACACACAATGTCTTTTTCAGACTAACCTAGAAAGCGTCTGTAACAGTTGCACCTGTGTTGTGTGTGCAGGTGGGCGCCTGTATAGTGAACCAGGAGAATAAGATCGTGGGGATCGGTCATAACCGGATGCCAAACGGCTGTGATGATAAGCTGACATGGGACCGCGATAGAACTAAAGATAATAAACATCTCTACGGTGAGATCTGATTTATTTTAATATTTGACTGTCTGACATATTGCTTGGAAGCTATGCTAACAGGATCTACGGAGAAAGCTGATAATGGCGAAAAAATATAAATATAGCGGCGAGACGGTTGCTGCCAACAGGCCGGTCTTGTGTCTTGGCTGCTGCGGCTGCTGGCCGCCGGGGGCGTCGCCGGCCGCCGCAACACAAGACTGGCCTGTCGGCAGCATTCAAAGTAGCCTACAGTCTAAACAGTATGCATGTTTTTTAATACCTCCTGCAGAGTGATACAACTCAAAGCCATTTTAAGCTTCTTGATCGATGTACATGCATTCAGAGGTAGAACAACTTCTGACTTCTTCCAATTAGCCTAAAGACACGCTGCACAGCTCCACTGCTCACCTGTTGTGTTGAATGTAGGAGTCTTTTCATTAAAACTGCACTTAAGGTTTATTTACTAAACATTAGATCACCATTTTCTCTCCCTCATTATGTAAAAAACCTGTATTTCTAGATAACAGTGGGTCCATACTTGAGAGGGACTATAAACTGGTCCTAAGCCACTCCTTAACTTTCAGTGTGAGGGTTGATGTCTGTTGAAATGTTGTTTAATCTGTATGAGCTGCTGTTGATACTGAATTTACAAAATTATAAATAAAATGGGATTTTGCGCCGCACTTAGTATGACGTCATCAAATAGATTTACTTCTCTCAGCACCCCCAACTAAAAAAGACTTCCAGTGTCCCTGGTGTTAGCAGACTGCAGTGGATTTCAATCATCTTACTGGTCGATCTGAGAGTTAGGCCAATACTGCAAGCAGCAGGTTTTCTGATCAAATGTTCTGTTTTTGTTTCTGTGCGTACTTTAATGTTCTCTGTCTTCTGTTTTTCTTCCTCTCCATCAACATCTTGTACGATATAGCCTACGTTTAAATAGTTTTAGTTTCATAATCAATGCCCTCATGCCTTAGTTTCAGCATTTTCATTAAAAGCTTTGGCATGCCGACGTATTCTAGCAGGGATTTCCACAGGCGCCAGCTGTCGGTACAGCCGACTACTCACTTAATGTTAGCTGACTACTTTCTGACTACTTTCTTCCATTGTTGATTCAGTAGTAATAGTAGTAGTAGTAGTAGTAGTAGTAATTTATTTCGGTCAACATATACAGTTTTCCATTAGGAAATGCATAGAAATGCAAGAATAAAAAAAAGAAATACAAAATTTTCGAAGGCATGTGCATTCATGAAAAGACAAGAAGAACATTTTGACGGAAAAGGTTTAGGCTGAAGCTTTAGCTTATTATACCTACAGTTGTTACAAATCTTATTATTTAAGGCACTACTAGTTTAGTTTAAACAAAAAAAACATATCAGAACAAAATTTGCAAACCATCAACCAAAACGCAATTTTTTTTTACAGTTTTCAGCTGAAATTGTTGTCGTGTAAACAGAGCCAAGGTGTTTGATGCTTAAAAATATTCTGTGGGAAGACAGCCCCCCAGACATAATTTTAGCTTTTAATGTTGAACTGTTAATACGCTTTAATGTTGTATTATCAACGGTGGGATAGGGTCTTTCCATTGAAATAGTACCAGTCTCCTGGCAAGGAGAGTAAAAGGTGAGCATGTTGATTTCCCATCTATTAAGAGGGGATTCTACTGGGGCCACACCAAACAGTGCAATGACTGGAGATGGTTCCACTGTTTTCCCTATCTTAGAGAAAGTCTCAAAGATGGTTTGCCGCTTGCATCGCTCACATGTGGGATCTATGTCTGCATTTATCTTAGAAAGCCTGGCTTTAGACCAATCTAGACCGTGTGCAATTTTGAATTAAATAACAGCATGTCTAAGACATAGAGAAGGGGAGAAAATTGACTATTATTTTGTGCCAAACTGCTTCTGAAATTGGTTCATCCAAGTCTGTTTCTCCTTTATCTCTCAGAAGATCTAAACACGTCGAATTATGTTTGTTGAGTAATTCAGACAACACATTTTAAAGTCAATTCAAACAGTTTACTGATTATATAACTATTTCTGAGTCTTACTCGCAGTTTGCTTAAACTTTGTTCTCCCTTGTTTGAAAGAGAAAGGCTGTAAAATCATTTGAGTCACATATTAAAGTGAGTTTGCAGGTTTTTAAGTTTTGTTGACGTATTAGATTTCATTGTAAAACTGTCTCCTAAAGAATCTTTTATCATATTTTTCTTCTTCTTCAGGAGATAATGTTCCCATACTTTGTTCCTGCTTCTCTCCAAAGCTTTCATTTAAGACCTGTAGCTAGAGCTATCCGTGTCCTTGTTTGCAATGATTTACCAGCAAGTTTAAAGTCTTCTTCTTTTGTGTGTCTCTCAGTGTGCCACGCAGAGCTGAACGCCATCATGAACACTAACGGTGCGGATGTGAAAGGATGCAGCATGTACGTGACTCTGTTTCCCTGCAACGAGTGTGCCAAGCTCATCATCCAGGGAGGTGTGTGTTAACATTAAAAACATTTTTTTTTTTTATAGTACCTGTAAATATGATTGCACCACACAGTAAAACAAAATTTTACAGTCCTGTTTCCTCCCTCTGTCCAGGTATAAAGGAAGTGATTTATCTCTCTGATAAGTCCACTAAAATGAAGTACATAGCCTCCAGAAAGATGCTGGAGAAGGCAAATATTGAGCTCAGGTAAGTCAACTACTCTGCTTTCTTACCTGAAAGAACAACACTCAGATACATGAGTACTATTTTTTTATGTTGTCTTTGTAATGGACCTCTTTTGTTGCACCAAATCTTTTCTAAACTTTCATCACCTGTGCCAACTTGTTAAAGGGATACTTCACCCGTTGAAACGTGAATCTGTATTGACATTAGGTCATATATGTAGTAGAAATGTGAAATACATTTTGAAGGTGGGTGCCTTCTTGACCAAGAAAAGGCAGAAAGTGTCTTTTTGGCTCATGTGGATGAAAGACACCAACTCCCAGAACGCACTCGTCTGTGGCGGTTGCAGCAACTGCCTCGCCACTATATTGCGGTTCGTTGAGATAGCCACGAACATCCAATTTGAGCACCTCAGTAAAATCTTTAACCTCAAGTAAAACATGAATATACCCCTTTTCTGGCCTGTGCTCACTGTAATTGTCTCGTGTTGTACCGTAAGTGTATTGTCTCTAAAAAGTTTTTAAAAAGGAGTGCATATCTAAAAACAGCTACTTCTGTCCTTTGCATCATCACTTTAAATGTTCCTGAATTAATTATTGCTGTGTTCACACATGCACCAAACAGGTGAGCTGTATGTGTGAACAACAAACAGCTGAACTATTCACCCCGACTATACCCAGAGTTTGTCATGCAAGCCTCTTAGCAATGAGCTGATGTTTAAAATGAGCAAGAAATATTCTGTAAAATTCACCGCCAGCGAGCGGGAGCAGGTGATGACGTTTACATTACTTGTTTGATCTTTGTCTGCACGTAATGAAGCTGCTTTATACTCTTTTCTGCACTCTTTCTGAGAATATGTTATATTAAACGTCACATTTATGTAAAGTAGCCCTGGATCTAGAACAAAAGGACTTGGGATGCATCTGAGATTAAAGGGGGTGCAGCTACAGTGACCGGCAACAGCAATGTGAAATAGATGTTATGGGTCCTGCATGTGGTCCATGGTGAACACCGGTGCCTCCATTCAATTGAGTGTGCAGAAATTTTAAATATGGGTGCAATGCATCTTTTTGCATGTCTTCTGTGTTTTTCCACGTGTGACTTTGTGTGTGTGTGTTGTTTTCTTCTCTCTGTGTGTTCTTGCAGGCAGTTCGAGGGGACTGAGATTGTCAATAATTTCAGTTCCAATAACAAGAGTTATTGGCCACTGTGCTACTTATTTTAGTTTGTTTATTTAAAAGGACAATGTGCACTTACATTAAATGTTTGCAATAAACAAAGAGATGGGTGCACCAGATTTAGCTAAAAGCTACATTCCATACGTAGTCCATTGCTACTGGATAATAGATTGGGTGTAATTGGCTACCAAATTGGAAGAAAGGGGGATAAAATCTGATACAAATTTATGAAAAATGAAATGTGGGAACATAGGCACGCTCCCGTCTGTCTGCACAGGGGAACACCTGACACCTGCTTTTCTTTCTCCTTCAAACAAGGCACTTTGAAACTAATTTATGGGACCTTTAACGTTAACGCTGGAAGTTTTCAGTAAATCTTTTTATTTTGGAAACGGGTAGATTTTAAGCTTGCTGTCAAGGCACAAAAAGTGACAAAGTTCATTTCCACTGAATGTGATTTTTGTTTTATTGTTTGGTTTTATGCAACTAAAGATGGCCACACACTAGACGATTTCAAATTCTTAACTGATTTTAAAAACACAGACATACAGTTTCTAGGGATTTTTAATATTATAATCCTCAGAACGCGCACACTAGACGACTCTACCAGAGCGGGGGAGACCACACACCTGCCGTTTGAAGAAACGATTTCACAGACACGAGATCTCACAGAAACTTGCGTGATTAAACGCAATTTCAGAAGAAAAAGATACAGGGACGATCAACACCGTCAGCTGTCAGTCATATTTGTAACCAAAGGCTGCAGCGAGCAAAAGACAGAAAGCAGTGGGAGTCAATTCAATTAAACAAGTCGTCTGGTGATTTTTGAGTTCTTCTGGCATTAAGCTACATTTCCGTATCTTCCAAACAGAAGGAAGCCTTTTTCAGTTGGGCAGCAGCGCCATAATGTAGCTCCGTCGTCATAACGTCTTGTCCTTTCATGGTTATTCAGCAACACCATGATATTGGTGTCTCTTTCTGAAATCACACACAAAGATACAAACAGACACACACACACAGGCTGCTCTCCCCCTCTGGCTCCACTGATCCTGTCTCACACCTGTATCGCCTCCTTTACTACCTCCAATGGCGGCACAGAGGTGGGACCACTTCGTCCTCCATTACACCTCCTTAACATTCATAGTGAAGGAGAAACGTCACAGGGGCGTAAATATCCCACCTTGAACAGTCAGTCTGAACTGGACCGGAGAGCATAAAAACATCGTCAACATTTCAGTACTGAATAGTTGTCAGTGTATTTGTGTAATTTAGACCGTGTGCAGGGTATTAACCGAAATTCTTGTTCATTAAAAACCCGACATTATCTGATATATGGCCTGAGGATGATTATTTTAGTTGCCATGGTATTGAAACATAATGATATCATTTGATTTTACTAGACTTGTATGGAAGTTATGATTCTGATATTGTGACAGTCCTTGTTGTAGTCATGCAACTAAAACAATAAAATGAAAAAATGTGTTCATGGAATTTGGTGTCTTGTTTTTTTTTTTCGTTTATATTCTTTACTTTAAATATTCCTTATATCTGTGGTTTGTCTTCCGTGGTGTTCGATTCTCATTTTTGTAACGTTTTGATATCCAATAAATATCTTCAATATCTATCAATAACAACAAAATGACCCCTCACTAAATCACAGCCGGTCTTTGTATTTCCCTTTCCTTTAAGGTTCTGTTGTATGTAAATTTTTTTAATTTGTTTTTTTCTGCCAACACCTTCAGTTATTAATTGACAGAATGAACTGCAAGTTAACATCTTTGTTTTCCGATTACCGGTACACAGTGAAAACAAGTTCACCTCAATACCTTCAATGTAGAACTGAAGTCAACACCTGCTCTCACCTTTAAATCTCCTCTGAGAACTTTAGAGTAAAGATATCGACTTTATTGTCTCAATCTTCCTAGAAGAGGTTTTCTAAATAAAAAATCTGAGTCACATTGGTCAAAGTTTTTGTAAGTGAAACATCAAAATATAATTTATTACTCAATTACAATCAATATTTTGTATTAAATAAATCATCACAAAAAATAACGTCAAACTTAAGCACACGCTTTTCTGTTGATTTCATATTAAAATTGTATTTTATTAAATGTATCTATCTGCTTGTTTTTGGTGTTTTATGATTAATAAACTGGACAATACCTAAACGTGATTCTAACTTCTAAAGAACAAATATTGTTTGAATTAAATTACATTTAGGCCTACAGTTAGAAAAAAAAAGAAAAAAAAAAAGATCAGTCCTCCAAACAATAAAATTCTTCACTCTTTAAACTGCAGCTTGTTAAAATGTGTTTCTCCTTTCATCATGTAACAGGATGATTTAGTTCAGGTTGTTTTCTTTCAATGAAAAATCTATTTGATCTGTCTTCCATTTTTGAAAAATGATTGACATACTGAACGGTAACATGTTCAAAATGCTCCAGATGACTGATCCTTGACTTCATGTTTTAGAGAATGGGATGAAATCTGATAAAAGAGGATGTATTTACAGAAACACATTATGTAATAGCTTGTTGATGTTTTACGGATGTTTAACACTTGCTGCTTGCGGCTTTCTTTGTCACACCCGGGGCTTCTGCACTTTTAGAATAGCCTATATAGGCCTACATTTTTAAAGGTTTATTTAAAGACAGGAAAACGGGTAGAGTCAGAAATTGGGGAGAGAAAGAGCGGGTGCTGCAAAGGGGCACGTGGCAAATGAGCCACAGGCCGGGCCCAAACCCGGGCTGACCAGCCGGAGAACCACAGCCTTCACACATGGGGCGTGCGCAACCACCAGACGCCTCAAACAAACGTTTTGAATATATAATGGATAATCATTTGACAATTAGGCCTACCATTTTCATCACATGCTAAAAGTAGGCTATTTGTGGTTTTTGGGGCAGTTTTTGCGTTTAGTGGATAGGACAGCTTAAGAGAGAAAGGACATGTTAGGAGGTGAGAGTGGGGGATGATATGCAGCAGAGGGTCGAGGTCGGATTCTTTACCAAGTTGTTGTTCCGGCTTGAGCACTGAGCAGGTGTTCATGTGCATTTTACAACCCGGCAACTCGTTTTTCCGATGTGTCCGACACTACATGAATGCAGCAAGAGTATGCGATGATGCGAACCAATGGAACCAACGCTGGAATTACCGGGTAAGGATGTCCCCGAGTTTACCTTACCAGGCAGGACAAACCTACTTTTCTGTTGTTTTTAGGTCCTTAAACAGAGTGTGTGATTATTGGAAGTAAATGCAACACTTTTTGTATCACTATGGTTGGAACTGAGCTTTTTTTTTTTATTTTATTTTTTTTTATAGTTAAGCTTTCATTGTTTGTTCCTGGCAGGCAGAGTTCAGGGCTTAAAAAAAAAACAATTCACAAAGCGCGGAGTTTCCTTCCGGGTTCGTGTTGACATAAGAGACAGTGCGGCGTGTCTGACTCCAACACTGCCACAGTCGCAGGAGAAGAAGCAGGGAAACATCGACTAACTTCTGAGTTTTAACTGGAAAAGGATGGAGGACGTTCAGCAGACGAAGCCTGCTCTTCTGAACGGGTAAAACTTCAACTTTATCCTGCTGTCTGACACATTTATCAAGTATTCTGTCAACAGCATCTACAATTCAAACAGTCTCGATGGTAAACTTAACATTTTTTGTAAGGTTGGAGGAAGAATGTGTCTCATTTATTTTTAATAAAAGCGGAAATAAAACCGGACCACAGTCCAGTAGAAGAACACACATTTAAATATTTACTATGCATTCAGTGTGTTTTTATGACTGTAGTGTGCATGAAATACACAAATAAAGATGTTAATTCTAAATGTGTTCATATTATGTCAAATTAAAAACTGTACAGTCTCTGGCCTCAACCTGCATTCTTTCTAATGTCCAGAAGGGTGCGACTCCACTGGTTGTTAAAAGCAGTCTGATTGAGAAGTCTGTGATAAAATGTTCTTGCTTGTAAATTGATTTATTCCCTCAGTAAAACGATTCCTAATGAGTGCATTGCCTCAATCTCTAGTTTCAAGTCTTCTTCAATACACCATGATTTTAATTTAGTGAAATGTGGCCCCGTTTATTTATTTTGAGCAAATCTTGTGCACAAAGCACAGCAGGCAGGTTTTACAGGCTGCTCCCCTGGTGCCTTTTTAGAGAGGAGACATTTTCAAGATCATACTGGGAATGTATATACGTTGAGCTCCTTCTCATGAGAAGACACAAGTTAAATATAAACATAAGAATCCAGACAGTGTGAT